GAGCCGACGTCTCTCGGAGCTAACTTTTTTATTTTCATCGGATCTCTTTTTCATGATTCGACGAGTAATACACAAGAAAATAATATATTTTTCTCGCTGTTATCACTCGACTGACACATTTCATTGATACACGATTTAATTTATAATAAGACCGGCTTCCCGGATTTCCTCGATGATAGACAGCATCTCGTTGTCGTGAGCGTTGTTGCCCGCTCGGTGCGAAGCGTCGAGCAATCGTAGACGATCCACCAGCTCGTTGGGATCGTCCCAGTGCACGTAATCGATCGCGTTGTCGTTTAGCGCCATTGCGTGAGGTAATCCTTTTCCAGATTTCTTATAGTGTTTCTTGGGGGGTGATCAACATCAACGGCGCGATTATGTATTTGTACTTGTATCCCCTGTTGCTCAATAATCGACCTTGCGAATGATGCTTGTGTTTGTGCGCGCTCGTCATCAATAGCATGCTCTTGTACTTGTACATATCGTCTTCCGTGTAGAGGGCATCGTCGGGCATTCTCTTGAAAATCAATTCGTAAAGATCGGGGGTACCGGCGTATCGTACGCCGTCGATAATTATGTTGTCCGCGTCAACCCACGTCGAAACGTTTATTGCCAAACATCAATCCATCCTTGTGTAGGTAAACGCCGTACACATGATCTATACCCCTCTCTTTATCTTGCGCTCCCCGCAGGACAGCCTCGACGTACTTTTGACCCAGCGGACCCAAGTTGGCTCGTAACGCCTCTCGACCTTCCGACGTTTGCAGCTGATTTTGAACCTTCGTCGCTAGCGAGTCTTCCGTCGTTTCGAAAACGTTCTCCAATGACTCTATCGTCGGTACGATTTTGGCAGGTGGGGTAGAAGTTATCGGTTCGCGCGATTGATAACTAGATTTATGCAGAGTTGCGGAAGGTTCGAACGTCTCGCTCACTTCTTCTCCCTCCTTTTGTTCCTCCTCCTTCCTCTCACGTTTAGGGGCAGACGCTGCATCTTCGTCGCGCGACTCTCTCTTTGTCGCGCGCTCGCCGGGGCTGTCGACGAAAAGTCGCAGTGGCTCGATAAGAGCTTTAAAATGTCTATCCAACGCGATGCTCTCCTCGATTTTACCGGTTTTTAGAGCG